AAATTCTTAGAATCATACAACCTCCCAAAACTGAATCAAGAAGAAACAAAGAATCTGAACAGACTGATCACTTTTAAGGAGATTGAAACAGTAATCAAAAACCTCCCAAAAAACAAAAGTCCAGGACCAGATGGCTTCTCTGGAGAATTCTACCAAACATTCAAAGAAGATTTAATATCTATCCTTCTCAAAGTATTCCACAAAATAGAAGAAGATGGAATGCTTCCTAACTCATTCTATGAGGCCAACATCACCCTGATACCAAAACCAGATAAGGACAACACAAAGAAGGAAAATTACACGCCAATATCACACACGAACATAGATGCAAAAATCCTCAACAAAATATTGGCAAACCGAATACAGTAATACATTAAAAGGATCATACACCATGACCAAGTGGGATTTATACCAGGGATGCAGACACGGTTCAATATCCACAGATCAATCAATGTGATACACCACATTAACAAAATGAGGAATAAAAATCAGATGATCGCCTCAATAGATGCAGAGAAAGCATTTGACAAGATCCAATATCCATTTATGACAAAAATTCTCAATAAAATGGATATGGAAGCAACGTACCTCAACAAATTAAGGCCATATGTGATGAACCCACAGCCAACATAATACTTAACATTGAAAAACTGAAAGCCACCTCTCTGAGAATGGGAACAAGGCAAGGGTGCCCACTTTCACCACTCCTATTCAGCATAGTACTCAAGGTTTTGGCCAGAGCAACTAGGCAAAAAAAATAAATAAAAGGTATCCAAATTGGAAAGGAAGAAGTGAAACTCTTGCTGTTTGCAGATGACATGATTCTATACGTAGAAAACCCTAAAGAATCCATCAGAAAACTATTAAATGATCAACTGTAGTAAAGTTGCAGGGTACAAAATCAACTTAGAAAACTCAGTTGCATTTCTATACACTAATAACGAACTAGCAGAAAGAGAAATCAAAAACATAACCCCATTCACAATTGCAACAAAAAGAATAAAATATCTAGGAATAAATTTAACCAAGGAGGTGAAAGACCTATACACTGAAAACTATAAGATATTATTGAAAGAAATTGAGGACAATATAAAGAAATGGAATGATATTCCATGCCCATGGATGGGAAGAATAAACATACTTAAAATGTCCATATTACCTACAGCAATCTACAGATTCAATGTAACCCCAATCAGAACCCCGACAACTTTATTCATGGAACTAGAGCAAAGAATCCTAAAATTTATATGAACAACAAAATACCCCAAATAGCCAAAGGAATCCTGAGAAAAAAGAACAAAGCTGAAGGGCATCACAATCCCTGACTTCTAAATACACTACAAAGCTATAGTAATCAAAACAGCATGGTTCTGGCACAAAAACAGACACACGGATCAATGGAACAGAATTGAAAGCCCAGAACCAAAACCACACATCTTTGAACAACTAATCTTTAACGAAGGAGCCAAGAACATTCAATGGAGAAAGGAAAGTTCCTTCAATAAATGGTTTTGGGAAAACTGGACAGCCACATGCAAAAGAATGAAAGTAGACCATTTTCTTATACCATACACAAAAATTAACTAAAAATGGATTAAAGACTTGAATGTAAGACCTGAAACCATAAAACTCCTAGAAGAAAATACAGGCAGTACGCTCTTTGACATCTGACTTAGCATCTTTTCAAATACCACATTTCCTCAGGCAAGGGAAACAAAATAAAAAATAAATAAATGGGGGGCCAGCCCTGCGGCTTAGCGGTTAAGTGCGTGCGCTCTGCTACTGGCGGCCTGGGTTCGGATCCCGGGCGCGCACCAATGCATCGCTTCTCTGGCCATGCTGAGGCTGCATCCCACATACAGCAACTAGAAGGATGTGTAACTATGACATACAACTATCTACTGGGGCTTTGGGGAAAAAAAGGAGGAGGATTGGCAATAGACGTTAGCTCAGAGCCAGTCTTCCTCAGCAAAAAGAGGAAGATTAGCATGGATGTTAGCTCAGGGCTGATCTTCCTCACAAAAAAAAATAATAAATAAACAAATGGGACTACATCAGACTACAAGGCTTCTGCAAGGCAAAGGAAAACATGAACAAAACAAAAAGACAACCCACCAAGTGGGAGAAAATATTTGCAAATCATATATCTGATAAGGAGTTAGTTTCCAAAATACATAAAGAACCTATCATACAACTCAAAACAAAAAAGAACAACCTGATCCAAAAATTGGCAGAGGTTATAAACAGACATTTTTCCAAAGAAGATATACAGCTGGCCAACAAGCACATGAAAAGATGTTCAACATCACTAATTATTAGGAAAATGCAAATCAAAACTACAATGAGAAATCGCCTCACACCCATCATAATGGATACTATTAAAAAGATGAGAAATAGCAAGTGTTGGAGAGGATGTGGAGAAAAGTGAACTCTCATACACTGCTGGTGGGAATGCAGACTGGTGCAGCCACTATGGAAAACAGTACGGAGATTTCTCATAAAATTGAGAATAGAATTACCATACAATCCAGCTATCCCACTACTGGGTATTTATCCAAAGAACATGAAATCAACAATTTAAAGAGATTTATGCACTCCAATGTTCATTGCAGCACTATTCACATTAGCCAAGACATGGAAACAACCCAAGTACCCATCAAGTGATGAATGGCTAAAGAAGATGTGGTATATATACAGTGGAATACTACTCAGCCATAAAAAAGACAAAATTGTCCCATTTGCAAAACATGGATGGACCTTGAGGGTATTATGTTAAGCGAGATAAGCCAGACAGAGAAAGTCAGAAACCATATAATTTCACTCATACGTGGAAGATAAACAAACTCATGGATAAAGAGAACAGATTAATGGTTACCAGAGGGGAGAGGGGTGAGGGGTGAGCGGAAGGGGTAAAGGGGCACATGTGTATGGTGATGGATAAAAATTAGACTGTTGGTGGTGGGCACGATGCAGTCTATACAGAAACTGATATATGATAATGTATACCTGAAATTACATGATGTTGTAAACCAATATGACCTCAATAAAATAATTTAAAAAATAAATAAATACTATATGTGAAGGTTCTTAACAGCGTCACACACTTATGGTCAGTGATATAATCACAGTCATGTTTATTGTTTATAAATGCTCCTTTTGTAGCCAAACCCTCTCCCCCCGTGGTATCGGGCCCCACGGCGAGGGCCCCACCTGAGCAGACAGTGAGATTCACCTGCGAGTCCCACGGCTTCTCCCCCAGAAACATCACCCTGAAGTGGTTCAAAAATGGGAATGAGCTCCCAGCCTCCCAGACCAACGTGGACCCAGAGGGAGACGGCGTTTCCTACAGCGTCTCCAGCACAGCCAAGGTGGTGCTGGCCCTGGGGGATGTTCGCTCCCAGGTCATCTGTGAGGTGGCCCATGTCACCCTGCAAGGGGCCCCTCCTCTTCGTGGGATGGCCAACTTGTCTGAGACCCTCCGAGGTAGATGCCCCTCACCCCAGCCCAAGCCCACACCTGCCCCCAAGCCCCCAAGCCCGCTCCTCCCCCTGCTGTTTGCTCCAGGCCTGGATTTCCTGGAATCTAGTTCCTGACTGTCCTTCCCAATCACCAGGCACCTGGATGTGCTGGTCACTCACCTGTTCTAATGGCAGCTGCCACGTGAACACCTGCCATGTGCCGAGCTCTGTGCTAGGTCGTGTCGTCCACTTTACCAATAGCAGCTCCAACTACTGAGCACCTACTCTAAGCCCAGCCCCTACCTGCTTGGTGATTTCATTTAGTTTGCTACAGTTATTATGCTCCCACTGTATGCCAGGGGCTGTGCTTGTTGATTTCACTCATTATGACCCTAATAGGAGCTACCAGTCCCTGAGCACCTACTGTGTGCCTGGCACTGTTTTGTGATCTCATTCATATGCAAAGAGCACCCTCAGTGTTTGAGCGCAGGCTGCAAGCCTAGCACTGTCCTGGGTAATTCCCATCTGTGGTGCTGGGAGCTAAGGTATGGAGCCCTCCTCTGTGATCTGTCTGTTCCATAAGGTCAGAGCTTCTGCCCTGTGCTGTTTCAGTTCTCCCACCTTGGAGGTTTCCCAACACCCCACGGCAGGGAACCTGGTGAACGTCACCTGCCAGGTGAACAAGTTCTACCCCCAGCACCTAAAGCTGACCTGGTTGGAGAACGGAAACGTGTCCCGAACAGAAACGGCCTCAACACTCATAGAGAACAAGGATGGGACCTTTAACTGGATGAGCTGGCTCCTGGTGAACTCATCTGCCCACAGAGAGGATGTGATGCTCACCTGCCAGGTGGAGCATGACAGGCAGCAGGCAGTCACCAAACAGCATACCGTGGAGGCCTCTGCCCACCAGAAGGAGCAGGACACAGGTGGAACCCCTGGTGAGGCCTCCACTCCAACTGACCTGGCTCCTTTTAAATTTTATCTTTTTGTAAACGTTAAAAGTAGTAATTCATGGTTACTGTAGAATAATCTCAAAGTTTATAAATATAAAGCAGATCATGGAAGTGAACTCCCCTCTCCCAAATCCCACACCCAAGACACCAAGTGTCCACGTCTCTGCCTGCTGGAAGAGAAGAGATAGGAAAGGGAAGACAGGGGCTGGCCTAGTGGCTTAGTGGTTAAGTGCACGTGCTCCGCTACTGGCGGCCCGGGTTCAGATCCCAGGCGCGCACCGATGCACCGCTTGTCCAGCCATGCTGAGGCCACGTCCCACATACAGCAACCAGAAGGATGTGCAACTATGACATACAACTACCTACTGGGGCTTTGGGGAGAAAAAGGGAAAAAAGGAGGAGGATTGGCAATAGATGTTAGCTCAGGGCCGGTCTTCCTCAGCAAAAAGAGGAGGATTAGAATGGATGTTAGCTCAGGGCTGATATTCCTCACAAAAAAAAAAAGAAAAGAAAGAAAGAAAAGGAAGACAATTTCCCTAAAACAAGAGACATACAGAAGTTGCATAATTGTGTCCACTAATAACTTAGTTATGTACATTATCCAGGTGCAAATGGAGTCCACTATTGTGTGGTCATAGGATTAAGGACATTGTTTTTTCTACAAAACCAATACTATTATGCAATTAATAAAAAGTAACAATAATTCCCTAATGTCATCTAAAATGAAGTATATATTCACATTTTACCAAATTTCTTGTACAGCTGTTTATTTGCACCAAAATTTGTTTTAATTCATCCATAAATACTTGGTAGAATATTCCCGTGAAACCATCAGTGTCTCGAGAATTCTTTTTCATGAATTTTCAAATTATGAATTCATTTTCCTTAATAGTTTAGGGCTAGTCAAATTATTCATTTCATATTGAGGGAATTGTGGTAGGTTGTGCGTTTTGAGGAATTTGGTCCCTTTTCTCTAAGTTGTCCTATCTGCCTGTAGGGTTTTTCACAATCTCCCCTTATTACCCTTCTGAAATCTGCAGAGTCTGTAGTGATGTCCCCTCTTTCATTCCTGATATTGGAAATGTGTCATTTCACCTTTTTTCTTTATCAGTCTTGCTAGAAGTTTTTCATTGTTATTGATCTTTTCAAAGAAACTGCTTTTTGTTTTAGGGATTTTCTCTATTGTTTCTCTGTTTTCAATTTCATTGATTTTTCTGCTCTTTTCTTTACTATTTCCTTCCTTCTGCTGTGGGTTTATTTTGCTCCTCCTTTTCTCATTTCTTGAGGCAGGAAATTAGATGACTGATGTTACACTTCTCCTTTGTCTAATGCCATCCTGGTCTCCTCCTGTGCTGGGCAGTCAGGAGAGTGGAATCTTGACCCCTGGCCACTGTGTTCTCCCTCCAGTCCTCAGGGCCCAGCCAGTCTGCTTCCTCGTCCTCATGTCAGAGTCTTCCTGTGCTTGTACCTTGTGTTGTTTCTAGACATCAGACTGTACTGAACAGAGAGAGCAGGGAGAGATGGGTCTATGCCAGCCTGTCTGGACCAGCCTGGGTTTGCTCCTTAGTCTCCATCTCCCACAGGGCTCAGACCAGGGCTGTTATTTCTGGGTGCTCTCAGTGTGCCTGATTGAGCAGGCTCACTAGTGTCCTGAGGCTGGAAATGGTTTTTGTGTTGTCCATGTTGGCGAGCTGGAGCAAACTGCAAGGTGCCTTTGAGACCTTGCTTCAGTGGGATGTCCAGCCTGACCCAGGCATCTGAGGGCTCCGGCCACTGCAGTCCTGGGTGCAATGGGTCTGGTGTGAGGATGCACATTTTGTGTTCATTTTTATGGTATTGGGATGTTTTACAATATTTCTAGCTTAATGGTCATTTCTTCTCTCAGTACAGCATAATCCAGGTATGTTAACAGAGGTTGCTTTTGACAGTAGGAGAAAGGTTCTGAGGCCTCTGAGTTTTTTGATTCTCTTTGTCTTTCTGGACCTTAAATTTCCCTCCCCCCAATTTCCTTTTTCTCTTTACCACGATATGACCAAACAGTGCTTCCTCCTTCTTTTTTGTCTTTTCGCCCCAGAAGTTATGCACTTTATTTTTTTTTATTTAATTTTATTTATTTTTCCCCCAAAGCCCCAGTAGATAGTTGTATGTCATAGTTGCACATCCTTCTAGTTGCTGTATGTGGGACGCGGCCCCAGCATGGCCGGAGAAGCGGTGCGTCGGTGCGCACCCGAGATCCGAACCGGGCCACCAGCAGCGGAGCACGCGCACTTAACCGCTAAGCCACGGGGCTGGCCCGTGAAGTTATGCACTTTAATTGAGCCTTCCCTTTAGTCATATCTGTCCTTTTAAATGTCCCAGCTGCCTAGGTTCCTATTGCCATTGTAAAAAATTACCACACTTTTAGTGGCTTTAAATAACACAAATTTATGATCTTACAGCTCTAGAGGTCAGAGGTCCACAGTGGGTGGCAGGGCTGCACTCCTTCTGGAGCCTCTAGGGGAGAATCCGAGTCCTTGCCTTTCCCAGCTCCTAGAGGCTAGCTACATTCCTTGGCTAAGGGCCCCACCTCACTCTGACCTCTGACCCTGTCATCACATCTCCTTCTTTGACTCTCCTGCCTCCCTCTTTCACTTATAAGGACCTTTGTGATTACACAGGCTCCACACAGATAACCCAAAATAATGTCCCCGTGTCGAGATCCTTAACTTCATCACCAAGGCAAGTGCCTTTTGCCATGTAAGTAACATGTTCACAGATTCTGAGGAGTCTGTGCCAACCCTTTTCAACCAGGCTTACTTTGAAACTCCTTCCTATGATCCGTGCTCTGCTCTGCAGGACACTTTTCCAACATTTTCAATTTAGTGTGGATTTACTATTGGTGGTGAGATTTCCAGATAACTCTCAGGCTCCTCTGATAGCTGCCCTCGTCACTTTTCATCACTTTTCTTGGTGGCTGGGCGAGGCTGGGATGGCAGCCTGGTGACAGATTGTGCATAGAGTTTGGTGATTTTACTCTTTAGACTCACAGTTATTTTGACGTTTTAGCATCTTCTCTCCTCACACAAAGATGCAGGTTTGTGTAGAATTTATTTTCCCCTCTTTGTGTTTTCTTATGGTTGGAGAGGCCATTTTTGGAGACAAGGAGTGTGCTGCTGCCATTGTCCTCGGCACCCAGAAGTCACTGAAGATTCTTGAGTGCTTTGGCCCTTGTGTCCCTGTCCCACATCTCAGGGCCCATACGTCCCCATCAGGGCCCTATTCTGGCAGACAGGCCCACTGAAGTTGAGAATTCAGCTCCTCTGTAGCTCTGCTAATATAATCGTGTCCTGGGCCCATCCTCAGTTCTTCTGCCCCTGGTTCTAGGAGATGAGACTGGGCAATGCTGCCTGGAAGTCCTCTGGCTCTCACAATTGACCTTTTACTTGTGATTAGTCTCTCTTACTTTTCATTGTCTTTCTCCAAAGGATTGATGCCCCAGCAATAGCCATCCAATTCTAGTCCTTAGAATTACTATCTTCCAACTCAATTTCAAATGCCTGATGCCAAAGTATTCTCTCCCTCTTGGTTCACCACTGGTGAAGTTTGAACACTTGCACCACTAGCGGGAGCCAGGGCCTCCCCTGCTCCACCTCCTGCCAGTGCTGGGGTCCTCTTGGTCAGCCAGCCCAGTGATCCAGTTCAAACTTGCATCTAGAGTTTGCTTTCCAGATCCCTCCCAGATGAACTTCCCAGTTATGCTGGGAAGCAGACTCTGAAATGGACATGAGAATGTGGAAGCGTATTGTGGAGTGTGGCCAGGGTCAACATGCCAGTGGGAGTGAAGGGACAGGACTGGGACAGGGAGCTGGTGACCTACAATCCAGGCACAACACAGACTCGTGCTCTCACAGAGCTGTGGAGCAGGGTGGTCTTTCAGAGCTGTTTTCAGTGGAGGGGAGAGGGCTGAGCCTCTATACTCCGGTTCACCTGGTCCTCAGACGTGAGCTGCCCTCCAAAAGAGGTGCAAGCTTGGGCAACACAGCTTCCTCACCTGACAGAAAGTCCCAGAGAGCTGCTCAGTGACTACTGTCATCTTCCAGCACCCCAGGAGCAAAAGAGGGTGAGGTGTCCTCTTCTACCTTAAGGATAATTTTATTTACAAAAAATTATTCTAATATTTTTATTTATTTAATTTTAAAAGCAATAACTGCTCATTGTAAAAATGCAAAGAACCCAAACATTGCTTCCGAAGATAA